TCATTCACCCACCAGAAATAGAATTCAAAACAATAATGAATTTATGACTTTAGGTCATAATATAAAATAAAATAAATTTTAGTTATTGACACAAAACCTGCTGAAGCTTTTTTTACAACATATATATTGGACATCTGTAGAGGCTTCCAGTAGTCAATGTAAAACCTATCAGGACCCCCCCCCTCCCTCTCCCCCTACAAGGATAAATAATGAACACTGAGAAATTAGTAAATAAGGTAATTTCGTAATATTACTAACTACACCTGTTTATGTACATCAATCATTTTCTAGGATTTCTCGACCATATTCACAGGAGTCCTGATTGAGTGTCCATTTCTGTATGTTTTACAAAATTTAAAGTAGGTCAGATTGAATGTTTAATACTTACCTAAACCAGGATGTCATGTGTGTGGCATGTCCACCATGCCGACATGTTTGACACCAAGTAAACCAGTTATTGAACTGACTACGCTTAGTGTCACTAGTTAATTCTAAAATACAAGAGAAAGACAGTTGGATATTGGTATTTTCATTAAAATAAGATTGCAGATATAACTCTGTTGTTGGTTCATAAGAGGGCAAGAAGCAACAACAAAATTTATCCTAACCAAATACTCCTTAGCAACAGATAACAATAATATGAATAAATTGGAGGATATTTGATTATGTTTTAAATATTTTCTTTTCATATTGCATCTTGTTAAAAACATTAGGTTATGATTCATTTTTTTTTTTACAATAGATTAAACTAAGTAATAACATTTGTCATCTTTCATAAATAAAAAAAAGTTTGATTCATGTATAAGAAAATGGAAAATCAAATCCATTTTTTTTTTAAATTATCAAAGAATTTGTAGTAAAACTTTTCAACCTTTTGTTTTTTTCTACAATGACTACGATCCAAAAAACTCACGGCCATTGTGATCATTTCGAGAATGACTACGATCCAAACAACTCATGGCTATTGTGATCATTTCCAAAGTCCAAATACTTCATTTATTACTAATAAACAGACTTCCTGTTAACCTTTGCAGCAGCAGACAAGATTACTACTACACTATTATTTTCTCCAAAGGATGAAGATATACTGACACTATAATACAGAATTAGCATATCCACTCTACATACATGTACAGCATTTGTCAAATTACACTCAAAAATAAAAATTCTATCTGAACTTTTCCACTGAGCTCATTTACATATTCAAATGTGTTCAACACGTCATGGTATTCAAGCAAGCCAATCAGAAGTTTCATATTTTGCTTAATACATGAAAATCTGCTGCAGTGAATACACAGTTTCAGCATTTACCTTCAATTTCTTCTTTGGTTGTATTCGTTGGTGGAGGTGTTGCTGGAGTTCCCATATTCATTAGACATATCGCACACCTTGGCAGTGGTTTACGACAGCTAGGACAACTACTGATCTAAAAGTATAAAAAAACACAAATCAAAATTCAAGTTCAGTATGGTATTCGGACGAGTATGGTATATCTGAAATCTTTGATAAAGTCAATCACCTTTGATTTGTTAGCTATTCCTCCGCCAAAACTTGTCATAACACGTGACCGAGAACTGCCGGTCAACATGTTACTCGCGATAGATTTACCACAGAAATTACAACTGATGAAAACCTGTTGAGATGGTCGACTACTTGGATCACACTGACTACGACAGACATCAAATTTAGCTCTGAAATAAACAAAGGATAAAACGTTCATTTTTCTGCTTTACTTTGATAATTACTCATGACTTGAGCAGTAACCAACACTGTTCAACAGACATCAACTT